ATATGGCCAATATGTATTTGAAGCTTTATATACATCATGTAATCACAGCTTTGATCATCTGTTTGTCTGAATGTATTTATTTCATATACGAGGTATACATTAATGTTGGCTATTATTAACTCATGTGTATTAATTAATATGTATGAATTAGGCCCATCTTTATTAATTATGTGTCATACATTCTTTAATTAAATTACTACATAAGGTTATAAATATTTGTTTAAATTTTATTTTCAAAGGTGAGGTACATTAATATGCATTTACTACGCGTTTAAGTAAAGTTTATTTACTATGTGAGGTACGTACATTCTTTATAAACGCTAAATTACTCTGCGTTTCAGCAAATTCACCAGTCAGGTACATCCACAAAATTGGAAAACACCAAAACACTGAATAAGTAGTCAAACACGATTTAGTGCATGTAAAATCCAGTCAAAATCAGGTGAAAATGGACCCAATTTTGTTTTCGATTGTAGACCTATATGTTCATCCCTTCATCACCTTTTACCAAGCCAAAGACTTAAGGTATGTTTACTTTGGGAGTTGGATGGAAGGGAAGGGTGAGGAGGGTTTATGAACCTTTTTTTGTTCAAGATTTTTTTTGAAAGAATTAACTAAATTTTGTTCCGGATTTTATATTATGGAAGGAGTGGTTTTGTATCCTTCACGTAATCCTCTAAAACCCTTCAAAGGCAGAATTTTTAGATTTTCCCAAATTGTAGTCCAAATTTAAAAGGTGTACGAAATGGATTTGTACCTGCTAATAGGAAGACAAGTATTTTGGACACGCAAAATACTGGAAGTGACTCTTTTTTCTGAGACAATTTTTTTAGTTGCGTTAGTACACGCAATTGAAAGTGATCGTCGTCCTCCTCTATCAAAACAAGAAGAGATTGGAAACTCCAAATTCAACAGGTTGATTTGCCTTAAATCAAAGTTCGTCACCACTGAAAATTTCTTGTGGTCAACTTGAAAACACAGCTCAAGATTTACAGAAAAACTCAAAAGAATAAAAGGCGGCATACTATGCGAACAAGGTCTCAATCCAGAGACTTCCCGTGGGACTAATAACTTTTTTTTAGTTTTCTCTGTTTTTCCTTCTGTACTACTTTTCCTTCTTTTTTCAAAGCTTTGTATTATTTTCCTTTTATCAATACAATTCCCCTTTTTATTAAAAATAAAAAAAGGAAGACGAGTATTTTTTTTGAAAAGAAGATATTTAATTATTATTAATCAAATCGTTGGCTAAAGCCGAAACAATGGTAGAAGGAGGAGAATCAACCCAATACTGTGAATAACAAGCCGCCCGTGCTAACAAATGAGCTGGCTTATTTGCTGATCGCCTCACATGACAAAATGAAATAAACGAAAATGAATTCGCTATGTCTCTAATGTTGTCTCTCAATAGTCCCACCAAAGAGCAGCTTGAGCCTTCATGGATTTCCGCAATTGCTCTAGCTGCATCGGATTCAATTTCCGTCGAATTGAAACCATGTTCCTTCAGCCAGCTCAGGAAGACGAGTATTTTGGTTATTATTTATTTATAAAGTTAATAAATTTACAATTCTTTGATTATACTCATGGTTAATAAACTTCACTGATGTGAGTTTTCTCGCATTTAAAATAGTTTGTAGTAAAGGGAGAAGTACGAGTATCGTCTCCACAGGGACGAACAAAAGGAAAATAAGAATGAACTAAATTCAGCGATAAAAAAGAAATAAACTAAAATAAAATGCAATTGTGCGAGATTGATTGATTGATTGTGGGAAAATTATAAAGCAACTAAAGGATTAAAATAAATGGGTTCTCTCTAATTAATGATGAAGGGAACATGGATTGATTCCGAGTATTCAGATTTTTGGCTGACCAGGCTTAATCACATCAAAAATATTTAATTGAGCAACACTAATCGATATTAAGTTCTAACCGCTCTCGCGGCGTAGAGTACAATAATTTAGGGAACCAGGCTGATCTCTCATGCGACATGTATCTAAAATTTTTGCCAAAACGAGCGAACGTACGGCCTCTTAATCGTTACTAATCTCTTAGCGAACGATTAAGTGTGTGTGGAAGTGTCTTAGAATAAACTAGATCTCTCTTAATTTATTCTACAAGCAATTGTAATTCTAGTCGCGGTTCTAGGTTATAAGAGATATCAAGTAAATCATTTATACACAGGGGCGGAGGGAGGGGGTGGCCAGGCTGGGCCATGGCCCAGGGTAATTTTTTTTTTTTGTTTTTTGTATTATATAAATAGGTTAAATACGTTTTTAGAAATTGGCCCAGTATAAAAAAAATCTGGCCCAATGAAGAAATATATGGCCCAGTGCAAAAACAGTCCAGCTCCAAGTAAAAGAAGTGTTGCGCCGCAGCAGCTTCCAAGCCAGCGGGAGACGCAGGCCAATTCTCAACTCCCTAAGCCGGACGCCTTTCACGAATCACGCACCACGCACGTCTCAGACGGGCGTCTCTGACTCGCCGTGTTCTCGCCGACTCGCCGGAGACGCATGCTAACTCAGTAACTCCCTAAGCTGCTCGGGCCACTCGGGGTCTGCTCCTGCTCCGCTGCTCCCCTGCTCCCCTGTGCGGACTGCGCAGCACTCTTGGACTCCAAAAGCCGGCTGATTCTGCTTCTCCTCTCCTCAATCTTACATTCTTACTCCTTCAAGAGTTCAAGCCAAGGTAAGGGTTTATTTTTTACGTTTTTACAATTTTTAGATTAATTAATTGTTTTATTTGTCATTTTGTTAAATTAGTTTGTATTTGTGACTTAGTTTGATTTGTGTAATTGGGTGCTTTGAATTTTAAAATAGAAAATTAGGAATATTAAATGTTATATGTGAATTTTTTTAAATATTAATATGAGTTATATTTATATGAATTAAAATATAATATTGATTAGTTTTATTCTTTTTTGGTAATTGTAGTAGGTATGGCTACACAATCTACTTTCAAAAAGGCAAAAATCACATTGCGTTCGTTTTATAAGCCTAGTATAATAAGCACACAAAGTAGACAAGAGTTAAATGTCTCAATTGAAACTCCTAACATCTCATTCTCTCAAGAGGAAGTAGTTTCGGATGCACTTGAAATTGAGCGGGATCCGGAAAAATGCAAAACGATAAGTGATTGGCCGTTAGAGAAAAGAGATGAAATTAGACGATCTTATTTGATGCTTGGACCACGTGAAAAATGAAATTTTTTGCAATGAAACTCGTGAAGAATGAAATTCGTAATAAGATGAAAGATAAATTTCTTGTCGATCGTTTGACCATCTTTATTGAAAAGGAATTTGCCAACAAAATTGACGTTGAGTCTGTCATAGATGAGTTTGCTAAGGTCAAAGAGCGTCGTGTTCAATTAACGTTTTAGTTTCAAACATTGTATGCATTGTTTAAAATATTAGTATGAATTTTAATGAATTTTAATCATTATGTTAACACTATTGTCGTTTTTAAATTTTTATATAATGTTTTAGTGTATAGTCGGCCCAGGGTAAACATCGGTCCTGGCTCCGCCCCCTGTTTATACACAAATTAAATAAAGATTCACCGCAATTTAAACCATCAAGAACCGAGTCATACATCATGAATAACCCCGTCATCAATCCCAAATTGCTAATTAAAATTACTCACAATTCATAATTGAATCAACAATAGAATTGAGATGAAAAGAATTAATTATCATTAATTAAAAAGATAGAACTTACAAAGTATCCCTTAATCTTAAAGAACAAGGCTTGAAAAGCTCTCAAAAGTCGAAATAGGGTTTATCTCTCTAAGCGCATCCCCCCAAAACGGACAAAATAGGGCCGCATTTATAGAAAAACACGATTTTTGCCGACATTGCAACCGCGCGGCCAAGCGAGATTTATTTTGGCGCTGAAAACTTACTCCGCCCGCATGGCGTGCCGAAAACCGCTCGGTACGACGGTGTCAGCACTCCTACGAGGTGTCCTGGACCGCGGGGCTAGCTCTCAAACATATCCCTGCGGTTGAAACCGCACGGATTATAATTAACATAATACTAAACCTTTAAATGATGGTTGTATTTTTTTATAATTGTGAAAAATACAACCAAGCCAATTTTTGGTAATATTTTTTTATAATTATTCTTGCACGACACCCAATTGATGTATTGTTTCTGAATATACAAGTCACACTTTACGTAGATTAGCTGACGAAAAATATCTTATACAAATGAAATACTTTTATCTTGTATAAAAATACATACATGAAAAAGGTGCTAGTTCGCGATAAATTAATGCCAAAGCAACATACTAAAACATGGTTAAAGTTAGATATATAAAATGATATTATTAAATAAAGTTGTGTTGAAAGATGGAATAATAAACTTGAATCATACTACATACTTCATTTTGAACAGGATAGTATATTAAACCTGAATCATGTACCGATAAATTTACTACATATTATATTGTGTAGCATTCGACATGATCTTTTTATAGAACTGAAATCCTGGTCATTTTTATGAAATGAAAACGACTAGAATTGTAATGCAAAACGAGAAACGATGCCATGATGATTCATTCCAAATTCAAATTATGTCTTTTTTCAGAACGCCAAATATATGTGCTTAAAATTTTCGTAATGAGTTGAAAACTAGTCTTATAATCCATAAACATCTATCGCGTGAAACCGACATTATATTGTTAATACATTTTTTATATTTAAAAAATCGGAATGGACTAGACAGGCTAGAATAGACCAACGAAACACCCGATCGAACCGATCCATTCCCACCATGCGATAGTTCCCTGCTTTAGAAAACTTTCCCATCCGCCATTGAAGTCATTGGAGTACATACCATTGAATTGGTGAATTTGGTGTACCGTGTACTTTAAATTTTCCCATTATTTGCACTTGCATTAAGACATTAACACGCTCTATGAAGTTCAAAATAAACCACTAAGCTATGTTATTTGACCATTTAGACTATTGTAGTTATCATTCGAAAGAAGTTAATTAAAGTACGTGCATCTCGTGAAACACACAAATGGAAATGCTAATTCGAATAAATATAAAAAGAAATATTTGAACGAATTCTCATAATTAAAGTACGTAGCTACTAATTAAGAGGTAATTGGTGTCACATTCAAGCAGTCTTAATTTAGAGATGACAATTGAAGAAAACGATAACAAAAAACCACTCAATGAGCTGTATCATTCCAGAATGGCTCATCATTTGGATCAACAATGTGGAACCTTCCCTCATCAAAAAACCACTCGACCAGGGCCTCCTCTAGTGTCTGGTAGGTACAAAAGAAACAATTAAAATTACCTTTGTGTTATGTACTTATAACAATAATTTTTACTACCTCCGTCCCAATTTGTTTTGTAAAGTCAACAATTTTTTGGTCAACCAATAATAAAAGTCAACCCTCCGTAAGAATAATTAATGCAATTTTTAATAATTAAAATTTACATATTCAAAAACTACATTAAAATCTCTTTAAAGTTGTAAACTCCAAATTAGAATATAATTAAAAATTGACATCCTAATTAAGTGAACAAAACGAGACTGTTTGACTAAGAAAAGTTAAATTTGCAACTCTTTTTGGGACGGAGGTAGTTTTTTTTTTTTTAATTTGTAGTGCGAGTCGTACTATTGTTATTGTCACTATTGTAATTAATATAGTATTACTATTAATGTTGCTACGTAGTAATCCTAACATCTAGATTTCATATTCTACATACGTTCTTTAAAACTTTGTCAAAGTTGATCGATATATCTTTGTCAAAGTCCATTATGTCAAACTTTGTCAAGAAAAAGTATAACATTTCTTGGAACGGGCCCAGGGACGGATCCAGGATTCTGAGTCAAGGGCGGCGAAATTTTTCGTTAGTGTAGGGGGTGAATTTTTTTTTGTTAGTGTAGCGGGGTGAAATTTTTTTCCCTAGTATAGCGGGGCGAAATTTTTTCGCTACTGTAGGGCTATGCGGCTATTTTTATTCAAAAAATGACATTAATACATGCACATCCCGAACAACATTTAAATCTATTACATTCTAAGTTTAGACGATGACAAAGACATCAACCAATACATTTTCAATAACTTCTACATTGTTTAACCTCATGAATCGGTTATTGAATTGTAATTTTTGTCCACCAAGGAGAGTGTTCGTGAGTCATGACTCATGAGAAGTTTTCTTAATATTACAATAGTAGTATACTAGTATGTATGGGATTGTTATTTTTAGAATAATATGCACCACATACACACACATATATGGTGCATATTATATTTTAATATTTTTATTAATTCTATAATAATTTAAAGTTTATTATCCATGCAATAAATTATTTTTAGAAAGCAAGAAGTAAATGAATTATGTAATCTAATGTCTATAAATATTTATATTTTGGATTCATTTCACGTGATCTAAAAATTGTGTAATTAGTGTGTCTGGTATTTAATATTGTTTGATATATGTTTTATGAAATCTAGTACTTGTTATCTAATAAAGATAATTAAACATTACAAAACTAGGAATTCTTATATAATAAGTATCCTAAATCTTAAATAACGAGTTACTCTGTTGTTTATTTGTTTAAGTTATGTAAATTATTTTAGATGTTTCTTCTTTTAAATCTCCAATTAAGTATTACATTATGTAAGACTATATATATTAATTTTGAAAATTAAAAGTTAAGGGGGGCGAATCTAATTAAATTATGAAAGTTTTATGAAAATATTACATATATGGTAAAAAAAATTGAATGTCCAAAGGGGGCGGTCGCCCCCCGCCCCCCCTAAATCCATCCCTGAACGGGCCGTTTCAAATGGCTGAATCATTTTTTGGAATTTGGGTAATTGGTCAATAGTTTTGGAATCTTCAAAGTCATTAGTAATAAGCGGGCCATTAGTAATTGCCATTTATCTGCACAGGCAATTCGTCACAGAAAAAAAAAAAAGTAGTTTCTTAGAGAAACGTACGGAATTGTCTATATGGTGTGTTAAATAAGCGTGTGCATGCATGAAGAACGAATCTTCAAATTTAGTCTATTTAAATATAGTAATGATACGAACATAGTTTTACATTTTTTTATATTTTCATTGAACTTGATTAATGTATATCAATGGACTTTTAAAATAAATTACCTGCAGTTGTAATACCAATAGGTAACTATATACTCGTATGTAATTAGTTAATGTTCCGATCAGGTGGTGGGGTGGCAAATCACTGGCAATGGATTTTTCTCCAATCATAAAAAAAGTTTAATTTTGGTAAGTTTAGAACCGGTACTTTTATTTGTGAATTTTGGCCCTCTTTCAATCCTAGCTATTCAGACAATTCACTCAATAAACTATTTACACCTCACTAATTTTACCACTAATGTGATTTTAATTGAATCTATCTAACTTTTTTATGCTTTACAAATTCAACAGAAAATACGGTCTTATTCTTCTTTTTAAAATATCCGATTATTTCATCATGTCATAGTAGAGTTAGCAAATAAGGGGTGTTTGGAACTGATTCTGATTCTGCTTCTTTTTTAAAGTAGAAGCAGAATCAAAATCAGTTTTCAGAAGCTAGTCACCCCAGCTTCTAAAAAACTGATTCTAGGAGTAAATTAGAGCAACAGAATCACTTGTACACTTTCATCCAAACATTCCAGCTTCTACTTCTGCTCCCTGAAGGAACAGAAGCAGTTTCAAGAATCAGATCCAAACACCCCCTAAGTACAAGAATGAAATAGTTAATGAGCTAGGTTAAGAGACAATACAAAAAAATTAATATAGAAAAGGTAAAAAGAAATATATGCCGTAATAAACCACAAAAAAACCCTTTGAAAAGAATATGATATACTCCCTCCGTATCAAATTAATTGACACACTTTCCTTTTTTGGTGTATCAATTTAATTGACCCATTTCCCTTTTTGGAAAGAATCCCACTCAAAAAGCAGCTACAGTACTGCTACAGTACCGCTACAGTGTCGCTACAGTACCAAAAACCTCTTACTTTTAATAAAGTCTACAGTGATTGTCTTAAACTGCGTGAAAAAGAAACGGGTCAATTAATTTGATACGGAGGAGGTACATCGTATTAATAAATATGAAGTAATAAAGATGGAGGAAATACCTTTGACTTTGGGTCTTCGGGAAACATGGGTTTCTTCAACCCTTTCTGACCGAAGGAATGGCCAAACTGTGAAGTGACCACATACCCATTAGTGGCCGCTGGGGTAGGCAATGCATTTATCAGTTGTTGCCTAAAATCTACAAAAACGTACTTTTCGTTAATAAACGGCATATGCTTAATACACATATACGGAGTATAAACACAGTAACGCCACAGTGACCAAAACCATTATCGTGACCAAAATTCGTCACTGACCAAAAATCATTTGTGACCAAAAATCCAAAAATCCGTCAGTGACCAAAATCATTAGTGAGAAATCATTTGTATTCAGAGAAGGCAGTCCGTATCTATGGGGAAAAATCATGAATAAAAATATTTAGTTTTTTGGTAATCTTAAATGATAAATAGTTACACATAACTGAGAATAAAACCCTGTCGCAAAATTAAATAAATTACTATAAAACATAACAACAATAACAATAACAAATAATAATATTCCAAACAATCATAATAATACTACGTAAATAATAATGTGCACGTTGCGAACCTGATATGAATCAAAGGCCGAATTCAAAAAGTAAATTGGGGATTTTATGTACTTCACCAAGTGTTTTGGAAAGAAGCACTGCACATACAGAGTTAGTATAATTGCATACTTAATCATATAATTCTTCAAATTAATGGAATTCAACTTTGAAGTAAAGAATATATATAATTTGATGTACCGATAATGCACTTCGATTGGATATGCACTCGGCCGGTAGTGCCTTGGCGCTTTGCTGCAACCCATGTAATATTCCAGATTAAATCTACTTTCATGTGGGAATTTAGTTTTTTATAGAAAATGTGGGAATTTAGTTAATTACCTGCAATTCAACAACTATGCCAAAAACAGTCTTCATGAACTGGGCATGCTTGGGATCCCTTCTGCAAATACAAAACCATAAACATAATTAATTAAGTTAAGTCACTTAATATATACTACCTCCGTCCCAAAAAGATTTGCAAATTTGACTTTTCTTAGTCAAACAGTCTCGTTTTGTTCACTTAATTAGGATGTCAATTTTTAATTATTTTCTAATTTGGAGTTTACAACTTTGAAGAGATTTTAATGTAGTTTCTGAATATGTAAATTTTAATTATTAAAAATTGAATTTATTATGCGTAGGGAGGGTTGACTTTTATTATTGGTTGACCAAAAAATTTTGACTTTGCAAAACAAATTGGGATGGAGGGAGTATACAAAAAAAATGAAAAAATACGTTTCTAAACACTTTAGATTGACGTATATATATCATCTTACAGTTTTAGAAAAAAAGAACTATCAATGTAGCACTTGACGTTCACAATGGGGTGGAATAGGTTGCGAAAATGATCGCAATGAATCATCGCACCTATTCCCCCTGCAGAACCTCCAGCAAGGATCACCTGTTGCAAAATTAAAATTTATATATGCATGTGAAAATATTATTAATTCAGGACTTTAATGATCAAATTCACTTAATTATAAATTAATTAATTAATTAAAAAAGTCAAAGTTCAGAAATTTACATTCCGGGCATCTTGCATGCCTTTCGCCATTAACTCAGTAATGACAGCTTTATATATTCTTGCCCCTCGGTAGAAGAGCTTAGTTTCCTAATAAAAAAAAGTGAATCTAATTTAAATAATTGCAATATAATTCTATATAATTCAAGGAAACAAATAGAATACACACCGGATCGGGTTGGTCGACATCACCGGAGAATGACCCGCCGTCACAATATCTTACGATGACCCGGTTCCAATTATAGAAGTAAGTTTGGTTTTCTTCATCACTAAATATCCCCGTAAACGAGAAATCACCCATGTGGAAGGAAGATCCGATGGCCAATGTGGCGCGCCTAGTGCAGCTGTCGGCGTACGCCTCCGTGTGATTCTCGTATACGGTGCTGTTTATACACCATCCTCCTCCCTAATTTAGAAAAAATCTCAAATCAAACTTGCTCAGATCAGAAAACTGTATATAGTCTTTAACTCAGTTTACTTAGATAGCGTTGACTTAAATGAAACACTCCGTATAACTAAATGTTGATTGGCAAACATCAACAGATCTTGCAATTTAATTTATACTGCGTAAAAAGTGGAACTTCTCCTACCACGCATTACATGCATTATTTCAAATAGTCGTCTCACATATCTATTCAAAACAGAATAAGTTAAACGAAGCGAATTATATTTCATTTATTCCACTAGCTGTTCTAACACCGTATGTAATTTTGTGGAAAGCTTATTAAGTGGGCAAGGGAATGCAATGAATTGCAAAACAAATACTGGTGCTTATGTCATAATTGTATCGGGAGCATGCTATTTATACGTTGAAAAATGATTACTACTAGTCTCTATACTAGGTTGCAAATTAAAGGGTATTGACTAGGTCTTGACGTATTGCCTTGTTGAATAAGCCTAGGTAGTCTTACCTCCGTTCTTAAATAAATGGAACATACGAAGTTTTACACTATTCGCATGTTCTACTTTGACTACGTTTTATTTATTAATGTATTAATATTATTTTATGAAAAAAATATTTTTAAATTTGTCTCATTGTAAATTTTCAAAATCTATTTTTTTAATTTTTTTTTACTAATACAAAATTATATATTTATGGTCAAAGTTGTGTCTCGACAAGTGTGAAATGTTGACCGTTGCGCTTTACGGATGAAATATTAGTGAATGTAATACCTATCCTATACTGATTAAGTAATTTAAAAGTGGTGATAATTCCACTTAAAAAGTCTCACAAAATGAAATGTAAAGTCTGTTTTGTCCCAAATAAAGCAAAAAAGCTTTACTAGTTACAATAAATGCAACCACAGCGGTGTTCTACCACAAGTGTGACCTTTTTTCTATACTTGACCTTTTTTAATACGAAGCATTTGTTACTTTGCTCTTTGCTTTGTCCCAAAATAAATATTACATTTAAGTTTTTTAAAAAAATTTTGTAGTCATTAATTATTCTCAAATCTTAATGATAAATTTTACATTTTCAACCACTTTATTAATAATGGTATAAAGTCAAAGTAGTACACATAAAATGAGACGAAGATAGTAAACGTAACACTTTGTGTAACTATGTAAATATGTTCCTTATAAAAATATAAGAGTATCAAATCTCTCTATGTTATAACTGATGGTGCTTCAAATCCCTTCAAGAACAAAATTAAATACCAAATAAAAGACAAACTATCAGTATTTTGTACTACGTACAATTTAGAGATTTTGATAAACTTTCATATATATGTATTCAATTACATATAATATTAAGATATATAAGTGATTCCAAATTTGTTGCATTTTTTAATCATAAAGGATTAATGTGCCTAATTTGTACTTCGTATAACACGAGTTCCTTTGTGCATTAAACTCTTTGTTGTTGTGACTATCATTTTAGTAATTAAAATTAAATATGACACTCTCTCTGTTCTTTTGTTAACTATAAATATATGGAAGTAATTATAATATGAAAGTGATACGAAAATATTCCTTGTATAAATTGATAAGTTTTGCAAAAATATGCATAGTATTAATTAAAATGATTGACCAAAATTTGAAATTATTTTCCATCACTTGCAATGGAGCCAAAGATTTATTATATTTTGGTTTGAGAATATGATGGAATAAAGCAAAATGATTCATTAAACTGTCTACGCTTCTTTGTTATGAAACAGCAGTTAGTCCATGTAATTTTGGGCGCGATTTTCACCATGGGTCATCCGAAAACAGTCTCTATGTACTTTAGTACAGGGGTAAGACTTCGTACATCCGACCCTTCTTACCCCACCGTAGGTGGGAGCTTTTGCGGCACTGGGGTAAACGAAAATGAAATGAAAATGACCAAAATATAAAATTATTGATTAGAAAAGTAAAAATGACTAACTAAAAAGATTTTGAAAAGACCAATTCCTACCTAGCTAAGACTACGCAAGAAATTATGAAAGGGGAGGTGATGGGCTGCCAGGAATGTAACTAAATAATGGAGCTTGGGTTACCACTAATATAATGTTCGGTGTACTTAAAATACCTAGGACGGAGTATATGCTAAAGTAATTTGGAACAATGAATTCAACTTTTTAACCACTAAAACCAACATATATGCGACGCAAAAAATAAAAACACCATGTTTTATTTTAAAATATAAAGAAAAGTAAACATAATGATCATTAAAAAAAGTACATGAATTAGCGCATTAGGAACTTGATAAGGAAGAAGTTGATTATAATTTTTACTTTCCACAAAGTTTTGGTAAAATGGTAAGTAATTAAAAGAACTCACTCCCAGGTGAACCAGCCAATTGCGGGCACCAGAACCGCTTCCTGCATCCCAATGGTAAGCGGGTGGGCTTCCGTCCAAACACACTATAATCATGACCATTATAAATCTTGTATTAGATATTACATACTTCGTATAAGCTATAAGAGTATGCATACATATGGAATTATTATTATGTAGTACGGAGAAGTATTTTACCTCCGTTCTCTTTTAATTGCAACATTAGACTTTTTGCACTATTCATATATTCTACTGTGACTATATTTTATTAATTAATGTATAATAAATTAAATTTTAAAAAAATATTGTTAAATTCTTCCTATTCTAAATTTTCTAAATATGAATTTTTTAATTTTTTTACTAATAAAGAATGAAAGATATTAATGGTCAAACATGTGCGTTGACAGACGTGAAATGTTGACTGTTGCAATTAAAAGAAGGAAGTATATATGTTGCTGCTTAGTTATGCATAAATTATGAATAAAAATGATGCACATTTTAATCAAGTATTTTACCGGCTCCATCGGCCACAGCACTCTTGATCAAAGTTATGGTAACGTTCTTATCGGCCTTTGATGGGCCAACCATCAAGACAGCACAAAGGATTAAGCACCACAGCATTTTTGTTGGGGTCTCCATTTAAGCTGCAAGAGTCAAAGTAAACCGCAGTAAATATAATACCTCCAAGTGGCCGGGAGTATATATATTCTTTGTGAAAAACACTACTGTACGTTCATAGTAAATGTATTGTTTTAAAAGGAAAAGATATCATTATTGAGGACTGCGTGCAAGAAAAAACTAACTCAAAAATAAGATGAAAAATTGGAGAGCTAATTCAGGACGGCCGCAATCAAAAACAAAAGATCAGAGAGTTGAAGAACGCGACCTGGAACGAGTTGAAGATGGAGCTGAGAAAGCTAATTTGCGTGAAGGGCGGAAGACTTAAATGAATTGTGATGAAGTGAATGAAATTTGCTGGCCGTTGCTTGGCTTTTTATATCGGAGGTGGACGTGATGGATGAGTGTTGCTTCAGTATTTACCAGCTGATGAGAGACTCATCTTTACTTCAAAACCGCACGTGGAGCTTCCGCCTCATACGGCTCCTCTAGGGATGGAGGTAGGCCATCGCTGTCTCATCTAATTATTTCATTCACTTTAATTTACTACGGACTACTTCCCTCTCTTAGGGAGTGTCTTCATTTGATTAAAAAAAGTGCTTTTCAGCTTTTGACTTAAAAAAAGTTAAAAAGAATGTTTTCAAATGACAGCTTCTGCTTAAATTAATCACTTAAAAGCTAAAAGCTGGAAGTAGGTGGAAGGGTGCTTTAAACTGTTTTTCACTTTTTCTATTACACAAAAAGTACTTCTTTTACCAAACACTACAAACTTTTACTTTTTCAGAATCACTTTTTCTTCAAACACTAGCAACTTTTGCTATTAATCACTTTTCCCAAAACCACTTTAAAAAATCACTTCTTTAAAGTTGAAGCAATTGCAAACACTCCCTTAAAGACCGTTTGGCTTATCGGCCAGACAATTTTTACTTTCACGGGCTGAATTGTGTAATAAACAGAAAACGTTATTTTAGATGATCATTTTAGGTATTTTTACATATATTTTTTTCTTTATTTTATTAATACAATATGTTTTAAAACTAATTTTTTCTTAAATCAGCAGAACCAGCCACTGCAGCCTCTTTAACAAGAACTTCATAAATTTCAACAGAAACTGTCAAAACAACTGATTTTTATGCTACCAAACGGGCTCATAAAATAGTCATTATCTTACACTTCTAGAGCCCGCTTTTTTAGGCTTATCAGGCTTTTCAGCCAGTTTTTTCACCAAACACGTTACTTTTGATTTCGCGCACTGGATTGTGTAATAAGCAGAAAAAGTAAGGTTGAAGTTACTTTTTTGACTGTATTGACTGAAGTTACTGTAGAGGATCATTTTAGATAATTTTTCATATGATTTTTTGTTTTATTTATTAATAACAAATATTTTAAATATTTTTTTCATGAATCAGCAGAATCAACCACTTTAGCCAGAACTTCATAAATTTCAGCAAAATCAGCCAATTCAGCCAATTCCAGTGTTACCAAACGGCCTCCTAATCTCCAAAAAGCAATAGAAAGTTCAATTTATTAGGAAACTAATGTTTCTTCCTTCCAATTTGATGATCATCTTTCTTTCGTATTCATTTAGTCAACACAAATCACTGTAAATCTTTTACTATATTCATCAAGCTTTTATCAAAACTTTTGCAACTTTGTAAAAACTTTTAACGTAATTTTTGAATATGTAAATTTTATTTACTAAAAGTAATCTGAGTGTGGACAAGAATTTGTTGACTTTATCTCGGTTATATCTCCTAAATCGCAATTGAAACATCAAATTGGTACCGAGGAAGTAATATTTTTTTGGACAAGTTAAAGAAGAAAGTGTAATGAGAGGGGGAGTATCTGCTCCATAGTACTTCTGTTCGTAAATTATCTATAGTCAATGCTTGTCATGTGACCAGCTGGATTTGTGATATACCATAGATATAGGATACCTTATGGGCACCGAGTTCCTCCATTGGTGAAAGTTCAATTAATAGAGATGGGAAGAGGTAAAGTGTGTAAGACAAAATGGAAAGTCTTAGCACAAAAAGGAACAAATAAAAATAGAAGCGTTGAAAAGGGCTCTCAACGGCCTACAATCCCAAGTTCCTCAATCCCAATAACACCCTCCCCATCCATCACTATCATAATATCCCAATGACCTTATAGCTAGCAATAGTCTATAGGTACCGGGTTACTGTAAAAATTTAGTGTAAAAAACCATTCAAAGAAAATCTTTGCGATACACAATTGTGGAGGTAGGGGTGGTGCTGGGCTCAGCTCGGCACACCATGTTTCAAAAAATAAAAAATATTAATATTATAACAAATTTACTGTACGTAAAAAGCCATTCTAAGAAAATCTTTGTATGTACCAGTAGGGCAGAGCACGGGTCGGGTTCGGGCGGGTCGGGTTAAAAAATGGTAAACCCGTTCGGGTATCGGATTGATAATTTCAAACCCTACCCGATCAAAAAAATTATCGGGTTTTTCGGGTTGAAGAAGTTCGGGTTTCGGTCGGGTTGGTTCGGTTTTCGGGTCCATTCGGATTTTAATTTATTATTGTTGAAATTGTGATAAATAAAATGGTAATTGGTAAAAATATTATTCAAAGTTATACTATTATACTCCCTCCGTCCCAATTTGTAAGATACATTTCGGTTTACGATGTTTGACTGACGATAAAGCAAATTGATCCCTGTCAACACCCAAATTAGTTCTAGAAAATAAAATTTACATATTCAAAAACTACATTAAATCCGCTACAAAACCTGCAAAAAATAATTCAAACTTCATAAACTTTTGATATATAAAATAAAAGTTTAGAAGTGATTTATGTTGACCAAGTGAATAGTAAATGTATCTTACAATTTGGGACTGAGGGAGTAACATTCAAATTAATAGTTGTATAAATACGGTAATCGACATTTTTTTTTTACCTCGGAAGGCAAACCACCTAAGTCGGTGGAGTAAATGTCGAGGGTCTTTTACTAGATTTTATTAGAGCTTCCAAGACTAGATTTTATACGGTAATCAAAATATTTGATCATGTAAAATAATACTACCTCCGTCCCAGGGAGAAGTTCCCAATTTCCTTTTTTGGCAGTCCCAACAAGAAGTTCCCATTTCCCTAAATGGAAAGTTATTCTACATCAAAACAGTGTCAAACAGTGCTAAACAGTGCAAAACAGTGTCGAAACAGTGCCAAACAATGTCGAAACAGTGCCAAACAGTAAAATTTACCCCCCAGTAACTTTATTTCCTTAATATGTGTGAAAGTCAACCCGGGAACTTCTCCCTGGGACGGAGGGAGTAATATATGGTGATTGGCATATTTGATATATATTGTGATAAATAAAATGATAATTGGTGAAAATATCATTCAAAATCATAACAATACAACATTAAAAGTTATAGTTTTACAAATATGACAATAAGAATATTTGAGTATACATAATATGGTAATTGACATACAATACTTGAGATATTTGAACATGCATAATAATTCAAAGTAGTATATATACTACCCTAGTTCGGGTTTTCGGGCGGGTCGGGTAGCATAATTGGTAACCCTACCCGCTACCCGCTTAACACTCGGGTTCCAAAAATTGGATCTGGTTTGGGTCATTCGGGTCTGGTTATCCGACCCAAAAAATAAAATCGGATATATCCGATCGGGTCAATCGGGTAGGGTCGGGTTTGCCCTCCCCTATGTACCAGTTCAATATAATCAAAATCTTGACCATATTGACACATGACGAGTATTAACGTGAATATATGGTCATACACTTGTATTAAACTTTTTAATTAATTTAATTTTTCATCACTATTACCGAGTACAGTATACCCCTTCACTATAGTACACGTAGTATATGAATGAGGTTCAAATGGTAAAAAGCATGGTCGATCGAGACAATATATAAAAAGTGAGTAAAAAGCTATACTTACCGGCCGTTTTATTTACTCTTACCTAAAATGAGCAAACACATAAGAAATCATTAATTACGATAAAGAAGAAAGAAATTATGATACAGCCAATGTGTGCATGGAATTAAGCTGTACTATACACGTTAAGTGTTCGGCAGAAGTAGCCATCAAATGAACATGATATGTTTAACTTTGCAAAAGAGATATACCTCTAACCTCCGCCCCTTAAAACTTTGTCAAGTTTGACCGACACGTGAATTAATTAAGTAAAAACTGTGTGGTTGAAGTTTGTGAAAATGAGATGTGAAAATGAGATAAAATTAACTGGAACCACAAATTATTTACTTAAGAGGGAAAGTGGCAAAGTTAGTGGGACATCCAAAAAAGGAAAGTTGGGAAAGTTTTGAGAGACGGATGGAGTAATTAATTACTACGTACTGTATAGTTGATGGTCTTGTTTGGTTCAAAGGAGGGGATAGAAGCGGAGAGTCAAGGAGGGAAGGAAAGGAAAGGGAAATGAAGGTTTTTGATAAAAATTCGTGTTTGGTTGGATGTAACGCCCGTGACTTTTATCTATTTCTTATGTGCTAATGTATTCTATATGGCCATGTTTTAACTTATGATTTGAGTGCGTGCTATATATGTGAGGTATAGGATTATCATGTGATTATGTACTTTGTGATAATTGTGTTTGAACTTACATATATACTTGTGATATGTTGATCATGACAGGTGACGGTACCCGATGAGCAACCAAACTACATCGTAATAATCAAATTTATTTTGAATGCAATGGTATATTAAGTTAGTTTTCATGTTAGATAGTAATTAGGTGTTAAAATGTAGTTTAAAATGTTATCAGGGGGTCAAGCTAAGGGTGTGATTGGCAACAATCGGGGTCGGTTTAGGGCGAAAAAAGAGCGTTTTCTGGAGTTTTCGGCACCCGATTGGCCTCAAACGGCGCCGGTTGGACCCGGACCGGCGCCGGTCCAAAACAGAAGGTCTAAGGCGTCCAAAACACAGCACAATCGGCGCCGTTCAGGGGCAGACCGGCGCCGGTCTGGCCAGTTTTGGCAGGTCAGTCAAAAAATCGTTTTTAAGCTCAAAACCCCCCCTTTTGACCCAAAATCGATCCCAGCTCGCTCTTCTTTGTTATCTGCATTTCAGTCCTGGCCATGATGGAAACCCCCTTAACTAACGACTCTTTTCCATTGTGAACCGAGGAGAAGTCCTTGAAATTCGTAGGCCTGTCCAATGGAACAAACCCAAATGAATTTGACAAACCGTTGTGCTTAGGACTAGGGTTAGGGTTGGAAGAAGTAGCCTTCTTCAGAGAGAAAGAACCAAATTGAGGTTTGAGGAGTAAAGTGAAAGTCGGGGCGGGCTGGGGGTTTAATGGGCACAACGAAAAACTGGCGCAAATGATAAGAGGGGAGTTCTTCGGAGATCCGAAAATGCCGATTCCCGATTTGAGAGACAATGTTAGCGGAGGTGCGGCAGAGCTTGATGAG